CAGCAAGCAGAAGCAGTTGGGTTCTTTTATTATCAAAACAGCAACACACCAAAAAGGAAAGTTGAGAGAGCCTCACTCTTTACTACCCAAGCCACACGCAAGCCTGCCTAACACCCCATAGCCATGTGCCTTGCACCAAGTGGAAAATAAATGAGAAGCAGCCAGCATCCCTGATGGTGTTCCTGAGCTGTGTGTCCCAGGCAGTGAGGAGAAGTCACTCAACCTCCTCACTTCCTGCTGGAGGTGGGGAGCTGGCCCTGCCCCCGGGGACTCCTTGCTGGGGGGCTACCTCAGGCCTGGCCGATCCCCCACCCCTAGTGAGCTGCTGTGATGCGTGTGGAGCCTTGGACCTGAGAGCGGTGGGCACCTGGGAGAGTGGGTGGTCCGTGATCTGTAACCCTGAGGTCATGTCTACTAGGTCACTCAGCCCCTGCCCCTTGGCCTCTGGGAGGCTATGGGTTTGGGAGCTGTCAGCTAGAGGGACCTGGTGCCCCTTGAAGGACATGAGGCCCCTCAATACCAGGGAGGGAGGGGTAGGGACAGGCAAAGGTTGTCCCTACCAACTGGTATGGAACAAGCACTGAGCCACACTGTCTGCCAGGTGACTTCCCATAAGTGCCACTGCTAGCCCCTGTAGGACACTGAGCAGGGCCCTCCCAGCCCAGGAGGGGTCGGGCCATGGCCCCGGGCACTTAACAGCTGAGGGTGGAGGAGCGGGGTGCTCCAGAGGGGGTGTTCTCACCACAGGCAGCCCAGCTTTGGGCGAAGTCCAGCTCAGGGAGCTGGGAAGGGTGGTTGTGCAATCTATCTGCCTGCCTAGTGTCCACAGGTCTCCAGTGGCCAACAGAATGACCCCCATCTGTTGGCCAGGAGAGGGCAGCTTGGTGGGGGCATGGTGTGAGGTGGGACTCAGCTGGCTGCTGAGGGAGCCCTCCTCTCCTGCCCCCTCCCCTCCCACCCTGTGCTATAGATCGCTGCATGAGTCTATTCCAAGGCAACTGGGGGGGCTTGGGGCCCCCAAGGGCAGCACCTCTGTCCTGCCTGCCCTCAGTGTGTCCAGGTAGGGTGGGGGCTTACCCAGGCTCTCCTGTGATCCCAAAGCTGGATGGGCAAGTGCCCCACCCCATCTTTCTGGCCATAGTGTCCAGACCAGGCCCCAGAGCCTTCGGAGGCAGCTCCTGATAACAGTGGCAGGGAGACTGGGGCAGCCACCTGGTCCTGGGATGGTAGGTGGTAGCGCCCAACCACCAGCAGAGCCTGTTTGAGTGCTGGGGTGTCTTCCCACCCTCGAGTCGGGGCAGGCAGGGGCCAGATGGCAAAAGGAGGGCACAGCCAGGACCCAGGTTCCCACCATGTACTGGTGGACTGGGTCGGTGCCAGGCACAGCTCCGCTCCCCGCTCCTGCACGGCTCCACGTCGAGGCAGGTGGGAGGGCCTGGCATGTTTCTGGTGCTGGTGTCTCAGAAGAGGCAGTCTCAGTTCCGGGCCACAGAGAGCATCTCTGCCCAGGGCAGGGCGCCCTGGTGGCTGGCACAGCTTCCTGCCCCGAGTATACAGTCTGGATCTAGGCGCTGTCGTGCCTTTTGCCACCTCCAGGCAGTGGGTGGGGAGGACCACTCAGCACTCAGATTGGGTTCTCGTAGCTGGTGAAGCTGCAGAGCTTCTCCCGCAGGGCTCGGAAGCAGGGCCTCTGCTCAGGGCTTCGGTGCCAGCATGCGAGCATCAGCCTGTGGGCACTGGGCGGGCACTCGGGGGGGCAGGGCATGCGGTAGCCAGAGTCCACTCTCATGAAGGCCTCGTGGTTGGACATGCCTGTGGAAGGGGGACAGGGCGGCTGGGAGACCAGTGCCCACCGGCTACTGTGCCTCCTTGGACGCCTTGGGCCACGCTCACCCACGGCACCCCCACACCCATTTCCTAGGCCCTCGCTCTGGACAGCACCCAGGGGCTCAGAATGGTGTCCAGGTAACAGGGCCAAAGTGACGGCCGCTTCCCACACTGCTTGGGCCCAGTACCTGGATAGGGCGTCTGGCCCCTGCTGAAAATCTCATGGAGGAGGACCCCGAAGGACCAGACGTCGGACTTGATGGAGTAGTGCCCTCGGGAGAGCGCCTCGGGGGCGGTCCACTTGTAGGGGATGTTGCGGTCGTGGGAAAGGTAGATGTCCTCCTACAATGACAGACGCGCTGGGGGAGGCAGGGGCTGCCTGCACCTCCAGAGCAGGGACAGGCATGGGAGCCGGTGCCTGGTGATCAGGGCTGTGGCTGCCTGCCTGTAGTGTGAGCAGTTGGGACACAGGCCATCACAGCCACCACTAGAGGGGGATGCGGCCCACCTTGGAGACAGGCTGACCCAGGGCTTGTGGGCAGAGAAGACAGACGGGTGGCAGAGCCCAGACATGGGGCCGCGTGACCCAGCAGCACAGCGGCCACTGTGGCGGAGCCTGCAGATGTGCTCAAGTTCACGAGTTCAGAGATGCCAAGAAAGGCTGACTGGCCACCACTGGACAAACAGAAAGGCTGGCAGTCGCAGTCAGCCTGCCTTCTCAAGTGACCTGTCCCATGCTGGCCACCGAGTCGGGGAGGGAAACGCCTCAATGAGGAAGGGACCATAGAAACAGCAGCTCCTGAGCGGCCCACGCAAGGAGCAAAGGCATGAACTGGCACTTGCAGGTGTGCAGGAAACAGGTGTGGCTGTCGACCGAGGGACCACGAGGCCCACTGCATGATTCTGACCCTTGTGTCTTCCAGTCTCCACAATAAAACTTTCTCTGGGGGTTGGGAGGTGTTTACCCTGAGCTCACGCACCACACGCATCCTCTGCTGCCTGAACCGCAGAAGCTAAGGCAGCATCACGAATGAAGAAATGAGCAAGTGAAGGCTGGGTCCCTGCTTCTCCCACTCAGCAGAGACTGGCTCCTGCAGTTCCTGGACTGGCCAAGTGCCTCACCCCCCTGCCCCCGCCCCAGCTCTGAAAGGCCCTGTGAGCAGCTTCCTGTGTCCCCCCTCCCAGAGCCGCAGCCCTCAGCTCCTGTCCCCTCAGGGACCCCATGGGCATCCCCAGCGCTGAGCACAGAGGATGCCCCGCTATGCCCCAGGCCCTCCTGGGCCCCACCTTGATGAGCCTGGCCAGCCCGAAATCCCCCACTTTGCAAATGTTGTTCTCTCCCACGAGGATGTTCCTGGCAGCCAGGTCCCGGTGGATGTAATTCTGCGACTCCAGGTAGCACATGCCCTCAGCCACCTGGGAGGCAATGTCCACCAGCTCCAAGACAGGCAGGGCTTTCTCATCAGACTCTGCAGAGGCAAAGGGGCCGGTCAGCGGCGTCCTCTCTGCCGGCTCTGCTGCAGTGGAGGAGCTGGGCAGAGCGTGGGGGCTGATTTAAAATTGGGACAGCGGCCCCCATGCAGCCCTTCCAGAAGGCAGTTCCGTTTCGGCCCTAAAGATGTTCATACACATCTATACTTCGCTTCTGGGAATCTGAAGCAGGGTGATGGGAACTCCGGCTGTAAGTACACAGGCGCCCGTCAGATGGAAAACAGAAAGGTCCCACAGGCCACTGGCCAAGGGAGGCAGCGCACCTGTGGGAGTGCGTCAACCGTCAACAGTGTCCTTTCTGAAGAACCGTCAGTGACATGGGACAGTGCCTGCAACGCGCCGCTTCTGTGAGCAACTCGACAGTCAGACTTTTGGTCAGGAAGACTAGATCCCAGGTGCACACATCACATACTGGCCGTCATCCTACATTTCTTCCCGTTTCAACATCTCTGACACTGGGCCACACCTGCCCCCTGTGGCCCTCCGCTCAGCCGCAGCCACCGTCTGGCTGGGTGGTACATGAGACCCTGGGGCTTGTCAGAGGATAAGACTCCGGTGGCCATGGCCGCAGGAGTGAGAGGGCCTTTCCTTGTCGTATTTGTCCTTCTCTCTATTCCTCAAACTTCACAATGAACAGACAGCACATTTATCACACACGTCGCACACGGTCCTTACCCAGGAAAGGCCCGGCAATGCGTCAGGAGACCCCGGCGTCCTGTGCATGGTGTGGGCAGTCAGGGTTTTCTTCCTTCAGCGTCCTTCCTGACCCCTCCCCCAGCGAGCATGCGTCACTCTGGTCCCTGAAAGCAGCCCCAGGCCACCCCACCACTTACCCCGCAGGAGCTCCAGCAGGCTCCCCTTCGCCATGAGCTCTGTGATGATGTACACGGGGTCCCCCACGGACGCCACCGCATACAGCGCCAGGATGTGCTTGTGCCGAAGCTTCTTCATGGCCTGGATCTCCGACTGGAACGTGTGCTGGTGCAGGAGGTCGTCTGCAAGATGGGCAGGTCGGTGGGTGCAGGCCCAGCACCCACCCTCAGTAACTGTGGGTGCTCTCCGGGCCCAACTCCCAAGGCCAGAGTGCGGGGCAGATGCACTGGTCCCATGGCAGCCCTGCACCCCATAGGGGTCTCCACGAGGGTCCGCCACACCCACTCCACTCTGACCACACCCAGGCACCCTCATACCACTTTGGCCCACCCCTGCCCCAGCCACATGAGGAGCTGAAACATGCCCATGTGTTCCCGTGGGCCCTGGGCCGCTGGTTCTTGCCCCTGGTGCCTACCAAGGAGATTGCAGATGGGCCTGTCAGGCTACTTGCAACCGTGGTTTGGTGGCTTTCCATTAACGATAAGAATTTAACAGCCACCCTGGCCAGTGTGGCTCAGTGGTTGGTCATCCTCCCATGCACAGAAATGTTGGCGGTTCAATTCCCGGTCAGGGCACATGCCCTGTTGTGGGCTCCATCCCTGGTAGGGGATGTGCAGGAGGCAGCAAATCAATGTTTCTCTCTCCCTCTCCCTTCCTGTCTCTAAAAATCAATTAAAATCTTTTTAGAAAAGAAATAGCAATGTAATTAAAATGGAATATAAAAAAATTGATTGGCTGAAACCGGTTTGGCTCAGTGGATAGAGCGTCGGCCTGCGGACTGAAGGGTCCCGGGTTCGATTCCGGTCAAGGTCATGTATCTTGGTTGCGGGCACATCCCCAGTGGGAGATGTGCAGGAGGCAGCTGATCGATGTTTCTCTCTCATCGATGTTTCTAACTCTCTATCTCTCTCCCTTCCTCTCTGTAAAAAATCAATAAAATATATTTTAAAAAAATTAATTGTGCCCTTTATAATAAATGCATTTAGGTAAGAACAGTTGCAACTGAGAGGAATGTCACCTCCATGTGGCTGTAGGTGCCACAGTGGCACAGGCAGGCAGTGCATGGCTCACGGGATGTGAGCCCGGGCTGGCCTCGGCCTCCACACCCAGTGAGTGAGGCCAGAAGTCCCTGTTGGTGGGACTGGAGGAGGGTGGTCAGGCAGAGTCCCCTGGCCTGGGGCCACTCACCTCGGGCAATCACCTTAATGGCCACGCGGACCTGGCCTTTCCAGAGCCCCTCGAAGACCTCCCCGAAGTAGCCGGCCCCCAGCTTCCTGCAGAGCGTGAACTCCTCCCGGGGCCGCTCCCAGTCGGCACAGAGGGGCAGGGGCTCCCGCTCGTGCTGCAGGGACAGGCAGGGACACAGCCGGGGGTGCCACCCCATCGCCCAGCCCTTCCAGAAGTCCCTCTGACCCCAGCAGCAGGAGCCCTGGTCAAGAATCCCAGCGTCCAGGGCATGCTGTGCTCTCCAGGGGCTGCCCCTTGCTGTGTCCAGTAAACACCCACCCTCACTGCCTGCCCTGGGCCTGTGACATTGGCCCACTTGCCACTCAGCTAGCAGCTGGGCACATGGCCTTGTCTCAGAGACAAAGGACACAGCAGGGACATCCCTGACCTCTTATGATCCAAAGGTGAGGGTGACCGGCAAAAGGGGACCATCCTCTGCCCCACCTGCAACTCCAGCTCTGTAGGACCTCAGCCAGAGTCCCCTGGAGTCCCATGCATGACCCTGAGGATCCGTGTCATTGAGGAGAAAGGGCTGCGGTGGGCAGATCCGGGGCGGGGGGCGGAGGGGGCACGGGGCCTACCTTCCAGCAGGGCACAGTCAGCCGCAGGCCTTTGGACAGGCTGTGTGCCTGGTGGTGGCCCACGAGCTGGGCCAGGCTGGGGAAGGACACAGCTTCGCTGAGGTGCAGCCGGCCAGCACACCTCCAGATCCTGTAGTGCCGCACGGCCTGCCTGTCCCGCACTGGAGCGCAGGGCCATAGGCAAAGGAGGGCACATGAGCCGGTGTGAGCACCACTGTCTCAAGAGGAGCGCAGCCCAGGAGGGCACCACACCCAGCCTCCTGCCCTGTGTCCTCCCAACAGTGAAAAGAGAAAACCCAGGCTGGGACCACAGGACAGCCACCCCCGCAGGGCCTGAGGTCCCCGGGACAGGCCTCGATGTCCTGGACGTCACAGCCAGAAGGAGGGAGAAAGGGTCTGGGGTAAGGGTCCCGGTGCCCTTGCAGAACGGGAGAGGGGCTGTTGTACCTGAGAGGACATAGTCGGCGCCCGGCTTCTCGCTGACCCTGATCAGGAAGGCCCCTGGCTCCGTGCCATCTGCCTGCAGTCGGTGCAAGGCTTCCAAGCGGGAGATGCAGCCGAAGAACCACCTGCAGGGGGGGCAGGAGGCCCGGAGCCCACACTGACTCCACGCTGATCCCTGCCCTCCCACCCTGAGTCCCAGCCCTGGCACCGGGACCCCCAGCTGCTAGCTGATACTGTCTCCACCCTGAGTCTCCTTCTTTGCCCATCACAGACCCCAAATGTCCCAAGTGGCTGGTTCTAGAAAGTCCCTAGTGACCCGGAGGCTGCAGAACAGGCATCTCCCACCACTCTGGCCTGGGCTGTCCCCTGTGTGTGGTCAGATTCACCCTGTCCTAGGGATGTGCTATCCATCCCAGGGGACCACATGGTTCCGTGATTCTGTGACCACCTTCCGCAACCTGGGCCACAGTCAGGCTGTGTTCCAGCACCAGGGACCTGAGCAGCTGGCTGTGCACACCTGACTGGTCACACACCCGCATTTGCACACTCACCCACACACTCGCCCCATGCCTACATGCCAGCAGCCAGCACCAGGGCATGGCGAGCCCTGGACTCTGGGCTGCAGGGTGGGGCCCGCCATCTCCCAGGTGACCTCTGCTGCCAGCTGCTCTGTCCTTGGCACCCCAACTGCCTCAGCACCATTGGAACTCGGGCCGCTGCACGGAAGGCCACTGCCCAGCACAGCCCAGCCTGCACACCTCAGAGGACTCCCTGCTCACCCTGCACCACGCTGCCTCCTCCCTGCCTCTCCAGCTGGTCCTACCCCGCATCACACCCCCTGAGAGACCCTGCCTTCTGAAGCCGACCTGAAGCCGACCTGCTTCCGGCTGAGCTTGCTCATTGCCAGTCTCCCCTCGGTAGGTGGTCATCCCTACACGTGTTCACTGTGCTGCCCACACACAGCGCGAGCTCAAACAAGGTGGGTGCACAGGCAGGCTACTGGGTCTGTCCTGCTGGACACCCCCCTCCCAGAGCTCCGGGGAACCAGCTCAAGTCTCGTGGATGCGCCCATCGAAGGCTGCCCCTGTGGTTCAAGCATCCTGGGCAGCCTCTCAGGGCGGCTGCCCGCTCCCGGAGCCACCTTGCCATGACGAGGCAGCCGTGAAGGTGCAAAGAGCAGGTGCCCGCAGCCCACACCCGAGCAGGGCATGTCGCAATGACCTTCCTCCCTCCCTAACTAGGTCGCACATCTGGTTTCAGTTGGTTGGAAGGTGAGCAGAACTTGGCTCCCCAAAAGGTCCAGCCCTGCCTTGGGTTCACTGCGGGCCAGCCACCCGGGAGCCCCCTGCGGCCTCTTCTGTCCTCTCTGGGTCCTGGCACCACGAAGTGATCATGTGGGAGCCCAGGGGAGGGGCCACAGGCCTCGGCTTCCCCCCAGATGCCAGTCGGCAATGCTGTACAGCCATGGATGGTGGGGTCCAGCCGCGACTTGGGGGCCCAAGGATGCGAAGCCACAAGTCCTCACCCTCCTTGGCCAGCCCTGCACCCCTGCCCCTCCCCGAGCCCAGCCACAGGGCGCCGAGCTCTATTCCCTGGAGGCCCTGCCCTGCTCTGAGCTCTAGATGGACTGCAGGGCCCAGGGACGAGGGGTGGGGGTGGGGGAGCAGCTTGGTGGCCCGCAAGGACCACAGGGCACTCACGGCTCGGACTCCACAGTCTCCCTCTCGGCCAGGTAGTTGTGGGGCACGTAGCCTTCAGCCAGGGCCCCGCCCTCTGCGTCCAGCAGTGTGGCCCACCACCACTCCTCCTCCTTCCGGGCCACGTGGAAGAGGTCGCCTGCCCGGAAGCTTAGCTCCTCGTTTGTCCGGGCCTTGAAGTCCCAGAGGCCCACATACTGGGGGCCCAGGCGGGCTCGGCCCCGGGACACCATGGTGTCTAACGTGGCAGGACCCAGCCACCTGGCCTCTCCCTGCCTGTCACTCGGCTGCTCTGAACACCGTGGCTGGGAGGTGTGGAAGGGCAGGGCCAATTCTGACAGGCCACCCCCCCACCCACCCAGCCAATGAGCTGCCCACTTCCCTAAGCACCTGGGCTCCACCCTAGAGGGCCTGGCAGCCCCACCTGTTCTACCTCCTGGGCCAGGTCAGTCTGGGCGCTGCTCTTGCCCACCCTCTGTGGGAAATGTGCCCACCAAGCGACCACGTGGCTGGGCCTGAGCCCCAAGAGAGGGAGGGCAGAGTGACCAGCCAGGGCCCCCTGGGTCCGCCTTAGTGGAACCTGGACCATGGGGAGTTTTGGAGCTGGGTCAGGGACGGAGACCATGGACAAGGCACTCCCTTCCCTGACCTCAGGGCCGCCGGGAGGAGCTGGTGTGGCTGCCACAGGCAGTCCAGAGTGACGTGGGTCTGGGGTCAGCCTGCTGGCCTGGGGCCTGAGTGACTTCCTGTCTGAGGAGGTGCCAGGATTTGCTGCTACATCAGGAGGCTGTGAGGACAAATGAGCGAGAGTCCTGCTTGTTGAAACTCTCCCTTCATCAAGGAGGAGTAATGGCCCTGCTCACCCATCTCGAGGAAAGAACAGGAGGCGTGCTGTTTAACAAGGTCATCCATGTGCTGTGCTGGGCAGCCCCGCTCAGCGCTGACCAAGCTGCGTGGGAAAGTGGCCGCGGGCACCCTGGAGGGGGCAGGGCATAGAGGGAGCAGGACACAGGGTGGTGGGCAGCTTAGCGCCTGTTGGGCCCAGGGGGTTCCAAGCCCTCCTCAACTGCTCACCAATACACTCCAGTCCAAGGGGCCTCGAGTTCCTGGTGCGGACGAGCCTGGGGCTCTGCCTGAGTCACACCAGGAAGCTCCAGTTTCGAGGCTATGTCCCAGCCCCGCCCAGAGGCTCCGGAGCACAAACCTGTCCAGCACGTGGCTGGTGAGACTCCCAAGGTGAGCCCCACACACACCTGCCTCTCTGGCCTGTGACCACGCCTCGCTCATTCCTTCCCTCTGAGGCTGCCTGCCCAGCCCGCCCACACACCCCAGTGCCAGGCAGAGAGGGTGAGCCCTTCCTGGTGGCCGGAGCCCCTGCCCAGAGGAGTCCCTTGCTCCCCCCGAACCGGAGGAGCTCAGCTCCAGCCCTCACCTTCTGGGGCCCAGCCCCTCGGCCCAGCCCAGGATGGAAGGGCCAGCAGCTGCTGCCCAAACCCTCCTGCCCCCACACCCACCAGGACTGGGGCAGCCTAACCGGGGGTCTGAGGCTCTGGGGACTCCTGCCCTCCCACTCAACCCTGATCCAAAGCCAGATGCACCTGAGCCTGATGTGTCTGGTTCCTACCTCAACCCTGTGCTGCCCCCGCCGCTCGCCCTCAACCATGGAGTCCCTTCCCCAACCCAGCCCCAGCAGCCTCTGCTCTCTGAGCAGCCCTGGGGGGTCGCTTATCTGCACCCGAGGGGCTTGCCTGCCTCTGTCCCTTCTGTCCCACAAGCCTCTGGGGTATAGCTGCCAGTGTGGGGCTCCCAGGAGGGTGGGGGTTGGGGACCCTGAAGACAGACCCCACCCACCCGCTCCTCCTGCTCCTCTGTTTGTTCATCCATTCGCTCCAGAGCCGGGCAGGTGAGGCACCTCCTCACTCAGTGATGTCAGCTGGTGGCTTGGAATCAGCGCTGGCAGCTGCCTCGCTCTGGAGACGCTGCTCCCCTTCCCCGGAGAGCTGCCCGCAGCTGCCCGCCTCCCACAGCGGCCTCCACGTGGCCTGACTGCACAACCAGGTCGCGCTGGACTCTACGCCACAGAGGCAGACGAGTCATCCGCCCCCCAGACGGCCACCCAGCCATCTGCCTGACCTTCCCATGGTAAGACCAGCCCCAGCCGCCCTCAACCCCAGCCCAGGGAGATGGAAAGGGCTGTTCTCGCAGCTCCTGCAGGGGGTCAGGGGATCGTCTGCCTCTGGCTGCCCAGGATGGGGGCTGGGACACAGGGGCCAGCTCTCCCTCCATCATGACACACCAGCCCTGCTCTGGCTGGGGCTGAGGCCTGTGGTGACGCACGTCTGTGCTGCTGACTTAGTGCACGCATGTTTATTGAGGGCTGCCTCCCTGCACACACAGGGGCTGCACACAGGCAGAGGCGTGCGTGTGCAGGCGGTGCTGCATCCCACGTGCCCGGGAGCCCCGCACCAGCCCCTTCAACAAGGCCCTGGCGGAACTCTGGGGAAAATTGGGAAGCCCCACCTGCTGCTCTTGACCCTGGGAGGGGGTCCCAGGCAGGAGGGACCTCAGCCGGCTCAGAGCTTCTCCCCCAGTCACCCTGAGGGGGAGTAAACCCAGCTCGACAGGCCTTCTCTCGGGGTCCTGCCCATGCCAGGGACGTGGCCACGCCGGGCAGAGGACGCCAGCCCCTCTGCTCTCCAAGTGCATGTCTTTGTATGTTGGCCTGTGGGTGCACACCTGTGTGTGTCAGCACTGAGGCCCACGGCCAGGGGCTCTGAGGCTGAGGTCCGGCACCCTGTATGAGTTGAGGCAAACATTGTCCTGAAGAGAGGCCCAGGGAGCAGCCCAGCCCCGGCAGCGCCCAGGTCACGTGAGGGTGGGGTGGAGGCGCCTGTGGATGGTGCCCAGCGTCGCCTGCAGCATGGCGAAGGCCGGCCGCTCCTCCGGGCTGCCTTTCCAGCACGCCAGCATGAGCACGTAGGCCTCGGCGGGGCAGGCGGCCGGGCGCGGAAGCCGGTACCCTCTCTCGATCTGCTGCAGCGTCTCATGGTTGCTCATTCCTGGGGAGGAGGAGTCACCGTGGATCCCGCCCCCAGCCTTCACCAGACCCTATTCCGTGGGCAGCCTCGAGGCCAGGTGCCCCTGCTTGAGGGGAGCAACCCGCAGGGCAGGGTGCGCCCCCCCTCGGCTGCCTGGAGGCCCACCTTCGTAGGGACACTGGCCGTAAGAGAACACTTCATAGAGCAGCACCCCGAAGGACCAGACGTCCGACTTCGGGGAGTACACGCGGTAGTGGGCGGCCTCGGGCGCTGTCCACTTGACGGGGATCTTGGAGCCGCTGCTCGGGGAGTAGATGTCATCCTGGTGAGGGGACGCCCGTGGTGAGGTGGGTGAGGTGGCGCCCTCTGCTCCCACCGGCTCCACCGCCTGCGGGGCCAGCAGCCACAGCCCGCACTGACCTTGAGCAGCCGGGCCAGGCCAAAGTCGGCCACTTTGCAGGCCAGGTCGTCGTCCACGAGCACATTCCTGGCGGCCAGGTCTCGGTGCACGATGCGCCGCTCCTCCAGGTAGCGCATGCCCTCAGCCACCTGGCAGGCAAAGCCCAGCAGGACTGGAGGGTTCAGGGCACGGCCTTCGGGGCCTGCAGGGGCAGCCGACACTCAGGCCACTGCCCTCTGTGCCTCAGTTTCCTCATCTGAGAGGGGTGGGCCTGTGCGGCTGCAGTGACCATGCGGGGCAAGCTGTTCCTTGGCAACCAGCCTGGGTCCCCAACAGAGACAGAGAAGGACCAAAGGGGGGAGGGGCGCTGGACGGGGTCCATACTGACCTTGTTCAGGGGCTGGTGACAAAGATGGACCACTCCCTACCTGCACTCTGCCCAGCCTGGAACCCAATGCCCTGACTTTCTCTCCATTAGGCCCAGGCTGCCTCAGACCAAGGGCCCTGAGCTCACTGTTGGCCCCAGCCCCCCACAGCCCTCTGGGTCTTGGAAAATCCAGCCACCAACAAGGCCTGGAGCCTGTCAAAGGCCTGTGCCAGAAGGCAGCAGGGGTCGCTGTCCTGGCCCGAAGGTCGTGCTGCCCACAGACAGGCGGCCAGTAGGGGTGCACTCACTGCCCAGGAAGGCCTGCAGGTTGCCCTTGCGCATGAGCTCGGTGACGATGTACACGGGCTCGCCAGTGGAGCACACGGCGTGCAGCTGGATGAGCCGCGCGTGCCGCAGGCTTTTCAGGGTCTGGATCTCTTTGGCGAGGTCAGCAAGTTTCATGTTGGCTGCTGGAGAGGGTGCAACTCCAGGACCCGTCCACATCACCCATGGCTGCCCTGGGGCTCCAGGGGTCAGGGGTGGCAGGGCCTCACCCACCTGATTTGATGACCTTGATGGCCACGGGCACGGAGCCGAGCCACAGGCCTTCCCACACTTCCCCGAAGTAGCCTTTGCCCAGCTTCCTCCGAAGGGTGAACTCGGAGCGCGGCCGCTCCCACGCATCCTGCTCCGGGGGCTTCTGTGGGGTTGGGCGAATTCAGGGCCTCTGTGTGTGGCCCTGTCAGAGTGGCAGCTTCTCCAGGGACCAGGCCTCCCCCCAGCATGTGCTCAATGCTGGCTCTGGGTGGAGCAAGGGGTGCCAGGTGCTGACCTCCCTGAGGCTGGGCCCCATTTGCTGAAGAAGGACCACTGTCCACAAACACTCATCACTGCCCCTCAGGCTATCATTCAGGGGCCAGAGGAACCAGGTCGCTGCCCGGCCCCTCGGCAAATGGCCACGCTGGGACCGTGGTGGAGAACTGCAGCTCCAGCTCAGGGGCGGCTCCTGGGGCAGGTCCTCAGGATCAGCATCTCCTCCCACAGCTTCTGCCCTGGGCCTGGAGCTGCTGCGGGAGCCTCCCCCATGCGCCCCCAGCCCCCCTGCCCTCCTCACTGCTGCCTGCAGAGCCTGGCATACTCCCGGCCAGGGCTCCCGGAGAAGAGCAGACCCCACTCCTGAGCAGAGTGTGGAGGTTCGCCAAGTGTGGGCTCCTGGGCCTCATCAGATCCCCTGCTGGCCCTCTGGCAAGATGTGAGGCCCAGCAAGGCCGGGCAGGAGCAGGGCAGGGTCAGGCCCACCTGGGACACGCAGGGCTGCAGTAGCGGGTTCTGGATCAGCTTCCAGTTGGCTTTGTAATAGGTGAGCAGCTCCCCCAGGCTGGGGAAGAGACGGCCCTTCTGCAGGTAGAAGCTGCCGTCAGCCGCCGTGGAGATGCGGTAGTGGCGGACTTTGGCCTGGGCCCGGACTGGGAAGGTGCAGAGATGGAGGCTGTGTCCAGACCCTCCACCACTACAACCAGGAGACTGCCACCACCCTCTGGGGAGCCAAGGCGGCCGGAGCCTCGTGGAGGAGGGGGGAGTGTGGGTAGCTACAGGCAGAGGAACAGACAGGGTGCAGAGCGGTGCTGGTGAGTGAGAGTCTGCAAGGGGAATGAAGGCGGGGTGAGCTCCTGAGGAGGCAGTGGACAAACAGGAAGTGACCCGCAGTAGGCGCTGTCAGGCCCTAGGTGGGGCTGGGCACAAGTAAGGACTCTGAGGTCAAGAGTGTTCTCATAAGAGAGCAACCAAAGGACTTGCATGCATAGGAGCATGACCAATGGACACGGACTCTGGGGCGGTGGGGGCTTGTCCGGGGGGCGGGAGTGGCAGGGGGAGGTCAATCGTGGAAAAAGGAGACAGATGTAATACTTTCAACAATAAAAAAGAGTGTTCTACCTTGGCACGGCTGCCCAGGGTGCCTCAGGGGGACAGAGGCATGAGGGGCCCTTGTACCTGACAGCGAGTAGTCGCCCTGGCTGCTCTCACTGGGCCGGATGAGGAAGGCGCCGGGCACGTTGGCTGGGGACAGGAGCAGCTGCTGGGCCTGGGTGCGGCTGATGCCACTGAAGTACCAGCTGCAAAGGGTGGGTGCATCGGTCACTAGGCAGGCCCAGCCCCAGGCGCCCAGCCCCACACTGGCCAGAGGCCCCAGGTGCCCACTCGGTGCCCCCAGCCCCGGCCCCAGTGCTCAGCCTCCCGAGTCATCAGGGACTGGACAGGCGAACCGCTTGGGCTGGCATGGAGCTGACAGCCACCCGCAGTGACCCATGCCATGTGAGACTGTCCACTCACCTCAGCCACAGGTTCCCGTTAGTCCTGCTCATAAAGTGACCACAGCCCTGGCCACAGGCTAACAGCCTGGCCATAGACCAAACCTGTCAAACTCAAGACAACTGAGCCCTGAGAGGGAAGGGGTCCACTGGGAACCAGGGCACCCTGATGAAGCTCAGGTGTGTGGGCTGGGCTGCAGGTGTGGCCTGGAGAACCAGGGGTGCCACCTGGCTGGGCATGGCCCACATGCCTCAGGAGGTCATAGGTGGGTGGGAGAAGCAGCCTCAATGCTGGAGCAGCTGGGAAGGCCCTCAAGGAGGTGGCCTGAGCCTGGCTGGGCAGGTGGTCAGGGGAGGCTGGGAGACCTGGGAGGCTCAAAGCATTGAGCGTCCACCTCTGAGGAGCCCTGCCCAGCACAGACCAGCCCGAGCCCCTGGTCCAGATACCAGAAACCCCCACACCTGAGAGTGGGGTGGGGCGGGACCTGCCTGGGGCTTCCTCATCTGACTCTCCATCTGGGCCAGCACTCTGCCAAGAATCAGGCCAGGTGAGGCTGCTGGCCCACCCCGTCCCCTGTGTTTGTTCCCCCAGGCCCAGGTTGGGGAACCTCACACCTGAGTTAGCTTCCCTCCCGGAAGCCTCCCCATACCTAGGGTCCCTGGAAACCCAGCGGCAGGAGGCCTGCCCCCAAGGGGACCACTTATGTCCAGGGACAGCCCAGTGAGCACAGCCCCTCATCCACCCTGAGGGACAGCAGAGGTACTGGCTCTCAGATCACCTGGGGGCCCAAAGTATGACTCAGAGCGAGTCAGCACAAGGTGGGGGTGCCCCCCAGAGAGGGGACCAGGTGAACATAGATGTGCAGGTGGGTACTGCTGGAGGCAGGGGCAAGGGCAGGGCCTGGCAGGAGGGGGCAGAGACAAACCTGCACCCACCTGGGAAGCTATGGAGAGGGGCTGGGAACCAATGTGGCCAGGGCCGTGAGGCTGGCCTGGGCTGGAGGGAAAATTGGAGGCAGAAGAAGTGG